TGTTTCTGTATGCATATTGTATGAATCTGTTCGCAATATCCGAAAATATATTTATTCTATTTTTATTCATATTTGGGTTTAATCCCAGTGGGTTGCTGTCCGCCATTTACATATTTTAACTAAGATCTGTTTATAATTTGGATCCCAGGTTACAATCCTGCAACAAAAATAATAATTTGCATTTACCTAAGTGCCTTTCATAGAAAAAAACAAATGATGCGAAGCACTTTACAAAATATAATTGGTTAGAAGTTTATCTGCATCAGCAAAATCTAATAAAACAATAAGATGAACAGCCAATTAATTTGAAATTTGGGGGTAATTTTGGATTAGGAGAGTAATATAAATCAGGTTGACTGGGAGAAAGACTCTACATATCTTTGAAAGAGCAATCTGTGTATATCTACTTGAATTACATAGACAGACAAAACCTAGATTTAATACAATCAAAAAATTAGTTTAGAATCTGGAAATAACCATAATAATTCTTGCATTTCATAGTGCCTGATCATGTTGTTGTGGTGGCACAACGTGCTTCACAGGATTTACTGTAAAGTATAGTGACTGTATTTTGTAGGTGAACACCACAGCCAATTTACATACAATTAAATGTCCCAGAAACAGCCATGAAGTGAATGATCANTTTTTTATCTGGGGAACCGGAAGAAACTCCCTTTTCTTTTCAAATAGGATTGTGAGATCTTTAAGTAATAAAGTACCCTCAATGCAGTTTATTATATAATAACATTCATAGATCAGATTTATAAAATCAAAATGTATATATGTGAAAGTACAACTACCAGTGTTTTCCTTGTCTCTGGCACCCTTTGATATCAAACCAATGTGACATCAAGCTTTTCCCTATTTGACACAACGTAGATCTATCTCTAATTTGTATTCCTGCACAGGGATCAAAGCTAACTTGGTGTTTACAAACCGGTTTCCAGTGATCCTAAACATTTCCTACCAAAATCCGACCACAAATTTCCAAACACAATTTGTCATGTTTAAAATTGCAGAATGTTTGCTCTACTAAATAACTGGCCAGTGAAGTCTGATACTGTAATTAGATAGCAGTGCATATAAAGCACCTCTCACACTCAAGAATGGCATCCACCGCCTTGTTGCTTTCGCTGATAGATTTCCATGAAAAACAAAATTGATCTGAGGCCTAAAATTCCATCCAGTCCTAGCCTGCAAGGACCATTTGGTTGTAAAATAAATTCTTCAATTCAGTTTTAATTTCAATGCTGTTTTTCTGCAGTTTTATATTAAAAATCAACTTCTGAATTAAGATGGAAATTGAGAATTTTCCACAATTCTGTCAATCATAAATTTTACAACAGATGGAATTTTGTGGAAATTTTAGGCTGTAACAACTGACTGCTATCAACTAATGAATAAAAAAAATCCCATATTATATCCAAGCTCGTGAATGGTGCATTCACACAGCATGATAAGCACAGAGAAGAGTTTCCTCCTGTCTGCACTTAATATTTTAAACAAAGATTTTCATTTCCTTGAGATGTTCTTGAACCAATCGGCTCGTGTGAAATAAATCTTTGTGTTTCCGCTGAGGTGGTTTTGTAGAATATCGGAGAAACTAATAGCTTCTGACATGGGGGTCCTTCGCATTTAATCTTTCCCGCCTGTTCCTGCTTCCATTCCCTGAGGCCTCAACTGGACTTCCCAGGTTGCCACCACTTCCCTCCTGGAAGCCATTTTATTCTCTGTGACAACTGCCACTATCTGGGGCCACTATTGTTTCCTTTTCAAGCCCACCAGTATCATTCCTGATGAGCAATTTCTACCATCACCTCCTAATATACTTTATAAAAATTACCAGCTGGTCTTTAGGAGATATTAAGCATTTTAAGACCGCTAATGCTTTGAGCAATTGTCATTTTATTTGCATGCCTATCAGATATTCCTTGCCTCTTTCACCCACACAATGGGCAGTTCCATAGCTGCTTCCAGGCCTTTGCCACATAGCTATTAGATGTGCATCAGAGCAGTGCAGGATAAATGTTTGACAACAAATTCAGTCACTACAAGACCAGTTTTATGCATTTTAACAAATGCAAAGATTAGTTTCAATATAGTGCTTAAGATGTCCATAGGTTCACTTTAGAGGTTACAGTTTAACTGAAAAGAAAATACTTGGTTGTTTACACCAAAAACTCAAGTGGTTGCACTTGTAACAGATGTATTTGGGTGAGCTGCACACGGTGGTACAATCTATGTTCAGAAGTTAGCTATGCCATCTGTAGCTCACCTGAGACCTTCTAAGGCTTTTTAGCCCCATAATACATTACAAACCTCACTGTTGAATAGACGATATTTTAGCATAAATGCAATGTACAATTGCAGGAAAGTCAAGCACACCTCATTTGTTCCATTACGTCTGATAAGTACATTGCAATCCTAACGGGCTCGAAGACATTCCTTCGCCTGAGACCTATAAGGGAATGACATTTTTGTTATTGCTCTGGCAGGCGTTTGCTCTTAGAGCTGAAAGAAAACCCCTCATCCAGAACCATAGCCAACCCTGATCCTCCAGCTAATTAATGTCTTCCTTCCACCTGCTCACTTGGCATTTCATTGAGCTCAGCCGATTAGGCTGGAATGGCAGAGAAACGGTATTCAGAGAGTAGGGACTTAATGCACAAAAAGGAAACAACACCCTCATCTGAATTTGAAAGGTTAAAGTGCAATGAATCTCTGAGGATAGAAGCTTAGTTTAGTCAAACCCCAACCCATAAAGTTAACTGAAGGCCGAAGATCAGCGCTCTGGGCGTTCCGTGTTTGGAGAACGCTGAACAAACATTAGAGTGAGTATTTAAAGAAATTATTGTGCTTCAGTAAACAGCTGGAAGCCATCATCTGATAAGCCACCTTTTGCAAACCAATGAGCAATGGCATAATTTTAGTAAAATATGAATACTATACAACGATCTGCCTAGTAATTTATGGCCTGAACTAATCAGGTGGTCCAGTGTGGTAGGCAGGTGGAGCTTCCTTTTAGAGACTTCTAAAACAAATATTCCATCAATCATTTTTAACGCCAGTCCTGCTTACACTAACTGTGTAGATCTAAAATTCAGTCACTATGTCACAAATTTACAACTTCATCTGATTTTCCATAAACCACCCACATGAAGCTTTGGAAACACCGGTGATACTGAAGCCAGCTACTGACTTTCCTTCTTGCCCATGTGATCTGCTGAGCCTGATCCTCTCCAGCACCACTATTTACCTGGAGAAAACAAAATGTCGGCAGTAATCTCTAAACGTTTATGTCTCCCTCCTTTTCCTGTTCAAGATTCAAAGTCTGGCAATAGTCTGGAGAGCAAAACGCCATCTGCAAAGCAGGGCTTTCCTGGTGATATTATTCTTAAAAAAGCACATTTGCTATTGAATTTTATAACTCATTTCAGTCGAGGACCAAATATGCTTGTGAACTCTCTCCCCAAATCTAGTGACTCACTTCTTCTTTCCTCTGTTTCAAATCCTGTTTGAAGACTAACCTATTTGACTGCACTTTCAGCCACCCTCCTTCCCTCTCCCCCCGCCCTCCCAATTCCTGCATTTCCCTGCCAACTTTGGGCTCCCACTCAGTATTTGTAAAGCACTTTGAGATGTTCTCCCAATGTGAAAGGTGTTAAATAAGTGTTGTTGCTTAATGTGCATGTATTGACCAGGTAGTTTTAGATATTCAACAGAAGTGTGTGTGGAGCTTCCCAATTCAGTATTCTGCTCATTCTTATTTATTTTAGACCATGATTTAAAGCTAGTTCTTTGCAACATGTGAGATGTTCAGTGCCCAAGGATAGGATGTCCATTAGTACTCACAAGTCTTATTCATCTTTAAAACTCTGTAAGGTAGAAGCATCTGAGGGTGACTCTTCTCTTGTGTACCTCTTAATGGCTGCTCCCAATAAACAACTCATGGGCTAATCATGTTTGGATAAATAAAGGTGGCTTACCACCAGGATTTGATTCAGAGACTTTGTAGAAATAGTATTCTTCTGCTCAAAAGACAAAATATTGCAGATGCTGAAAATCTGAAATAAAAACAGAGGTCTATGGAGCATCTATGCAGAGAGTCAATGTTTCAGGTGAATGCTTTGGTCAGATGCTGTCTGACCTTCTGCTTCTACTGAATATAGCAACATAGGAAAATAGGAACAGGAGTAGGCCATTCAGCTTGTTCTAGCCTGTTCCGCCATTATATAAGATCTGGCTGACCTGTAAGTCAACTCCTATGGGGAACGCTGCTTGTGGAGACATTCAACAACAACAACAAGATTACATTTGTATAGCGCCTTTCACGTCGGGAGGACGTCCCAAAGCACTGGACAGAGTACAGCATTTCAAACCCGAGGTGGGGTCAGAGGGGGAGAAGGGAGGGGTGACCGATGGCATGGTCGAAGAGGAGGGTTTTGAGGCGGGACTTAAAGGAGGTTAAGGAAGGGGTGAGGCAGAGTAATTGGGGGATGGAATTCTAGAGGTTGGAGGCAGAGTGGCTGAAGGCTCTCCCGCCAATGGTGGGGCGGGTGGGTCGGGGGAACGTGAAGCAGGCCAGAGCCAGCTGAGCGGAGGGAGTGGGGGGGTTGGTAGGGGGTTAGGAGGTCACAGAAGTAGGGTGGGGCGAGGCCATGGAGGGTTTTATAGGTGAGGACCAGAATCTTGAACTGGATCCTCTGAAGGATAGGGAGCCAATGGAGTTGGGCGAGAGTGGGGGAGATGGGGTCACGGAGTTTGGTGTGGGAGAGGACACAAGCTGCAGAGTTCTGGATTACCTGCAGCCTGTGGAGAGAAGAGTTGGGAAGGCCGACAAGCAGGGTGTTTTCATAGTTGAGCCTGGAGGTGATGAAGGCATGAACAAGAATTTCAGCGGCCTGAGGGCTGAGGAAATGGTGGAGTCAGGTGATGTTACAGAGGAGAAACCTGGAAAACAGATTTGATTTCCTTTCAAATTCTCTTTTCTTGATGTACAGGAGGGGCTCGAATGTGTCTCTTACACTGGACATGAATACCTTGGGAAGCGTTGAAACATTCAGTATTGCTCCTACACCGCGGGAGAGAATATCCATGGAGTACCTGCAGTTTGCCAGCCGAACTCTCACTCGACAGCAACTGAGAGAAATTGTGGAGAGCTCCCAGTATCTTGAGGCTGAATTCACGGTATGATGCTTCGTGTAGTAAGTTTCATTTTGTAAACGCCAGTTTAGAGGTACAAATTGAAACACGCCATCAAGAATTTATAAATAATATCTAGTTGTAAATGTATAATTAAGCAATACAGTTTAAAAAACAAGCATTGCAGTTAGTTAGAAGTAACATTTGTAAAAAGAAACACGTACAGGTCAGAAGAATGCATAGCCCAGAGCAGCCAATTCATTGCTTGTGGCACACATAACAGAATAGGTATCAGTGACCATGTTCCTGTTATTATACAGTGACAAAGAACTGCGATCTTTCAATTCAGGATCACGTTTTTGTTTTCTTAAAAGAAAGCTGTTCTCATTGCTTTTGCATAACTGATATAACTCTATGCAGCCCTAAAGTATAGATATGGGGGGGGAAAATTAACATACAAGGTTACTAAGGCAAAGGGATCCATCCATACACAGTTTGACTGGTGTTACATGTTTAATACATTAACCCCACGATACATGTTAAAAGTTTTGAATCTGGATAAGAATCATCATTTATATCCCAGTCTGCTCTGAGATAAATATCACCAATTTACTTCCTCTGGAGAGAAGGCTGTTTGTGTTGCAGATTGGGGGGGACATATTATAAACTTGGGCGTCATATTTCGGTGAAAATTACATAATATCCAACCAAAATATATTCTGAAATTTTTTACCTGAAATCAGTTGTATGTGTGTTTTTTTAATTATTAAGTAATGTACGGTGTTCTAAGCAGATTGGAATTTCTGCTGCTTTTTTTTAATCTCTTGAAATAACAGGAAATTCCCATGAATTTTGTGAATCCCAAAGAGCTGAATATTCCCTGCCATGGAACTAAGAACAGATACAAAACAATTTTGCCAAGTAAGTGCATCTGATAAACCAGTTTTGCTATGAATGTGAAATTATCTCTTCTACTTATTTTGTTCAATCTGTTCTATTCTTTAGATACATAAGTCAAGTCTTGAGGTAAATGTTGTGTGTTACTAGCTAAAGCAATGTGTACCACAGGCAGGCATTCAGATATATGTGTACAATACATATTAAAGTGGTGAAGGGGGAGAATTTTGACCATTTGGAAACCAGCAGTAAAACAAACTCATTTTCAAAACGTGTCCAATGGTTTTGACCTTCAAGGTTGTATGATCCTGAATTTTCATTCTCCAAAGGCAGGATCAATTCCAGTTAAATACAAGAGCCCCAACTTGCTCTTTATGAAAAGTTCAATTCTCTACAAAATTAATCACCACTACATCAAAAACAGTTGAGCAAAGATCATTACCTTCATACCATTCAAAATAAGTGTTGAACTGTACACATAGGAAAGTACCATTTGACTGCATCATTTTCAATATAAGATTTATTATTTCTATTAAGATAGCTCCTTCCCAGATTTGGATAGAGCTGAAAAAAAACATATGAACCCAAGAGTTTATTTGCAATAAGCAGTGGAAATCCAAACAATAACTCTGGTTTACAGCTGAGCACAGCATGTGCCAGTTAACAGAATGTATTATATGGGGCTATTGTGTTGTTGGATTCTGCCTTCAGCAAAGATTTAGTGTATTGGTTATGTTGATTTATATAAATGTCTTATATTACAAAATGTTTGAGTGCACCATGCGTTACCCCACTAGGCTTTCAAATTGTAAAAAGTCTACCAACAATTCCAATGTATTGCTCTAGATGTAAGGAAAGGCTGAATTGTCAGAGTTGCCGTGCTTCAGGCAAGATGTTAAACCAGGGTCCCACCTGATTTACTGGTTTAATTGGATGTTAAATATCCTGTGGTACTATTTCAATGAACACAGGGAGTTCCATTAAGAATGTGTCCACTGTGAAGTTTTGCCTTTCATGGAATCACGCAGCAATAATATGAGTGTGAGTGAAGGTGAAGGTTCAAAACTTTTATCCACTTGGAAATACGGTGATTGTTTCATTCACTGTAGTTTCCCATACTGAAAATAGAATGGAATAGCATCATCTCATAAGTCTATCTTTGAGGGCAAACAATGACACTTTAGCATCCAAATCACTTGGTAATATCCTGAAACAAAAATCAAGCAACTCCCTGCAGTGAGAAAAATCTTTTTAGAAGCTGCGTACAACTTGACATTTTGTGTTATTTTTAACTCCCTTAAATTAAAAGAGAAGGTGACTGGTGGAGTAATTATTTTGAATATCAAGTAGTGTATGTCACAGGTAGCTAGAATGTAGCTTCCAACCATCTATTTAAAGAAAAGCTCTTTGGAGACCTTCTCTGTAGGGCCGTGTGGGTGGTTTGCGTGATGCATTAAATGGAAAATAGGCACAGTATGACATTCCCTTTAGAGGAGGTCGGAGTGCATGGTCTCCTTTCAGATTGACCGTGACTTTCTGCAGTATTGTAAATTTGACTCCAATATCCATATTATCAATAACTCTACACAATAATTCAACTGAGTTAAACTCTCTCCGGCATTCAGACACTTCCTAAATCAGGACTATAATTAAGACTCATTTTTCTTGAGTGCAATTCTGAGCTTTGTGGCTGGGAAAGTGAGACTGCTTTCACTGAGATGCAAGACTGTTTCTATCCAAGCATTTGCAAACTGCTTCTGAGTACTGATGTTTAAAAGGAAGGGCATGCTGAGTTATTATGTTGGGTCGACTTTTGTTTTAAAACAAAACTCTTCTTTGCTAATGGTCTCACAGCCTTAAATGTAAGGCCATCTAAAGAAGGATCATTGTGATACAGACTGTGACACATTGAGTTAGGGAATCATTCATATCGTAGTTAGAAACTGCTTGTTCTGATTCAATGTGCTCTGGGACAGTATAATATCTGTCCCTTTATCTCCTATGCATCCCGTATTTCATTATAAAGTGGAAGTTTCCGGTTTGTTCTTCTCTCTTTTTCATGGCCAGTTTTCAATCTGCTTTTTAGTATGAATCACTGCAAAATACCTTGAAGCGATTTGTTGTAGAATGCAGTTGCTTACAGTACATTCAGAATGTGGTTCTGACAGAACATCATTTTGCATTACTACAGTACAAATGCAAGTGGTCAAAATAGTTTCAGCTGATGTTCAAATATGGTCACTTAAAAGTGCTTGTGTTTTTTTTAGTGCATCGTTTTATAGTGACTAGCCCATAATCAGAATTGAAGCTAAATTGCAATTTAGCAGAGCTCTCAGTGTGTGCACGTAAACTGTGATTGGGAGATGTTGCTTCACTCCAGCAGTAAAACTGAAGTGTTAGTTGGATTGTTAATATTGAGATTTTTCTTTCACTGAGCAGGAGGGCAGATATTGTAGTTTTCGCTTATGAGCAGGTCAAAGGTCATGATATCCTGTTTACACTTGTATTTGGAATGACTCCTGAGTTGATAGGGTTTATCTCCCATGTTTATTTGTGCCCTGCAGATAAGTATTGGAACTATAAATTAATAAAATGAAGTCAAGCCCTTGATGCCTGTGTGTCATAAGGCTGGCATCAGGGACTCCGCTTCTCTGAACCAACTAGTGACTATCCTCCGGGGGGTGGGAGGGCATGGATGGAGGTAAGAGGGTCATGTTGGAGTTGATGTGGCTCCAAGTTGACAATGCTGGGCAGTGGACTGTCAGAATCGAGCTAACCTTCTATGGAGATATCAGTGTCCAGTTCCTGAGCCAGGCAGGTCTGCAGTACTCCAGGATTCCACTGCAATGACAGACACAGCCTGGCTCAGCGGCAGGACTTGGAGAGGCAGAGCAGACATTGGGGACAGAGATTCTTCCCACTCAGCTTCTGTTAACCCTGTAAGCCAAAGCCCTAACGGGTAAAGTTGTCCTAACTGGACGAGCAGCAGGAAGCTTGCCAGTTGGTTCCCTCAGTCGGTAAACTCTAGCTAAACCTGCAACGCTCACTCTGGGATCCCCAAGCCTTGGCTCGTTCCAATCTGGGCCTAATACCTAGGAATTAGATAAGCAGAGTGCTTCCCTTTAGGGAGAATGTGTGCCTTCCATTTCAGACACAGAAGTTTTCAGGTGCAAGTGGGATGCATGGAACTCTCTGGTTTGGATACTCTTATGCATGGTGACGGTTTCCACATGGATCAGACACCCGACGGACCAAATAAAAAATCTCTGATTGATAAAAGTATTCACTGGAGCTGGGATTACTGTGTGACTCCCCACAACACAAGCCTGGGATGGTAGATTCCTTTTCTGCCAAGATTATGTAAAGATGCAATGTAATATACGTTTGAGTTGAAGGAATCTACAATGCAGGCCTGCAAGTTTAGGCCTAATAGATTTCATGTATAGTAGCTGAGGAGTGGTTGAGAGATTGTCTCCTCATCTGCTTTTTTTTACACCTTCCCATATTTCTTCCATGTGCAGCTGCACTTAAACTCCTGAAAACCACCTTCATGCAGTATACTGAGCATAGACGTTCAGCGAATCTGAGATTTGAACTCTGGCCTCCCAGTTTCTAATTGAACTTCTTCAACACAGTAACTTTCCCCTATTGTTTTTTGTGAGTGGTATTTATTAAGACTGATGGACCTGTGCAAAGGTTAGACTGTGAGCCCTGAAATAAAAGGTACTCTTGCCTCAGGGAAGATCAGAGTTTAGTAGCGACTTTCGTTTCTCCACCGTGTAGTAAGTACGCAAACACATCTGAAGCTAACTCACTTAACTTCTGCATAAGTTGGATAAAAATTTGGTGGATGTAGGACTGCGAGTTAAAGGGTTAGGTATACTAATACTATAGTCAAATACCTTACAGAACACAACGTTTCCCATGTTGCTGGAGTAGGGAAGTTTCATGGGTGAATACCAGCTGACTTTGCTCCTGGCTTCCTTTTCTTAGTTTAAATGCAGTTATTCGAGCAACAGTGATGGGAAAGAAAAATATCTCTACAGTTCCGTGCATGTGTAAAGCATGTACCATAATCATATTGCTTACCAGATGGCTTCATGTGCAGCACACATGCACGGAATGAGAATCTGGCATTGCTGTGCTTTCAGTTACCTGGAGCCGCAGCAGAACATGTTACACTATTATATCATTGCATTCTGCCCACGATGGCAACAGTGAACTTTCAGCAAACCCATAATGTCAAACCTGTGAAGCTAGCACAGCAGCTCCATCAGATCACAAGATTAAGAAGGTCTTTGAACCCATCTGATCTCATCACAACAACAACTTGCATTTATATAGTGCTCCTTACGTAGAGTAGCGTCCCACAGTGCTACCCTGCTGATCACAGTGTCAAGATGAGCAGCAAGACACCTTGCTACAACCCAGATTCTACCATAAACAACTTACTGAGCAGCAACAACAGATCAACTGAACTCTTCAAAAATAAATTTCCCAATGAGTAACAATGATTGGCTGCAGTTATGAACTATTGTGATGCTTTTTTCCAGTAGTTTATTAATAGTAGCCAATGACCCAGTGATCACAACACAGAATTACAGGTTATTTAGCATTGTGCAGCAATCAGACAAGGGTGTGGTAAGTGTCAAGGTCACATAGCCCAGGGACAGTGGTGGAAACTGCAAATAATTATGTTCATTCTAAAGGAATAGGAAGTTTCCTGTTCTCTTTGGTAAGACACTAACTATTCGAGAATGCAGAGTGGATAGACCAGAAGGAAAAGCTTTAAATGTGTGGTCATCACCGAAGGTTAAGTTCAAGGTTAATTTGTGTGTCAAAATGAGGTGTATTTTCCATCCTGCTTGGCACAGCCTAGGGCACATTGAAGATTAGATTTTACTTTGTTTTAGTACTGGTTCGTGGTGGTAATGTATCTCAAATTATTACATAAATGAAATTTCCCCTCAAACTTTTGGCACAGAGACGACTTACTGCACGCTATCCAACTCCCTTTTGATTGCTACGTTTCCCACGAACAAAGGAGGAAATCAAATAAATGATAGCCATACAAAGGAATTCCTCCCATTAATTTGCTTTTGAGGATCCTCCATTCACCACAGGAACACTTCATGTGCAGTACTACACACACGTTTTCACACAAACGGGATATCAAAGGGTTGCTTCTCAGATGTCTGTCACACTCTCCTGACCTTGCAAGTCCAATTGTTCCATCTGCTGAGTGCAATGCTTTACCCCTCTCCTGAAGAATATTTTCTGCATACGTTTCTTCAATGGAAATCATTGGCTACAATTTCAATGCTCGAACAATCGGTTGAGTTTTAACTGAAAAATGCTGTGATATAGTGTTCCTCCAGAAACGAACATAACGTTTATTTGTTTATGTTTAATCAAACAACACAATGAATGAAAATCCATTCTATAGTTAGTTACATTTGAAACTATTGAAACATTTTGCCTTTCTGCTTTTGGAAGTTCAAACAAATGTGTTTTTAGAAAATGTGTATATTTGGAAAGATGCAATTGAAAAGTGGGCTAAAATCAAAACTGATTTTGCCTGTTGAGGTAGATGTTATAGAGAGTATAAACTTCAAGCAATTATTTAATTAATTGTTTTCCTGCCAATAGCCTATTAAATAATTCCATAATATAAATACTATATAATGCAAAATCTATCATATAAATACTATTGTAGATGTTAGGAATTCAATTCCTAATTGTTCACACTATTTTATTTCAGTTAAATAAACCCTTTATCCACTTTACAATGTGCCAGATTCTTAATGGAAGGAAAGAAAAAGAGACTGTAATTTTATTTTACTTCCTAACATTTTTGTTCTACCTTTAGATCCACATAGCAGAGTTTGTTTGAAACCAAAGAGCTCAGATGAATCTCTCAGTAGTACTTACATCAATGCCAACTATATTAGGGTAAGTATGCAGTATCATTCCTGTAATTGTGATTTCGCTGAAATTTCCATTGAACTTCATCTATTGTAAGTGTCACATGATGTAGCGATGGCATAAAGCCATGACGTCCTTGCTCAGTTGGTAGCATCTGTGGGTTCAGGTCCCATAGGCTGAAACTCCAATGCAGTGCTGGGTGTGAGGTTCATTGTCAGAGTTGCTGTTCTTTGGATGAGATCTTAAATCAAGGTCCCATTTGTCTGTTCAGGTGGACATTAAAGATCCCACAGTACTGTTGAACAGGGAGTTTCTCTCGGTGTTCTGGCCAACAATCCCCCAATTAATATTGGTCATTCACTTCATGGCTGTTTGTAGGACATTGATGTGCACAATTGACTGCTGCATTTGTCTACAAAATACCCTGTTATTGCACTTTACATTACTGTATACCCAGTAAAGTGCTTTGAGACATCCTTTCGATGGGAAAGCTTAAAAAAAATTGCCAGGCTTAAGTTATATATGATACCATGATTCCCATTTCTTTTTAAACGAGCAAGTCAACACTGTATTTAAAACCTGTTTTCTCTTACATCATGTAGGGTTACGGTGGTGAGAAGAAGGTACACATTGCAACTCAGGGCCCTATGATAAATACGGTGAACGATTTCTGGCAGATGGTTTGGCAGGAGGACAGTCCAGCGATTGTAATGATTACTAAACTGAAAGAAAAGAATGAGGTAAGAAAGCTAGCAGTACAATGTTATAATTGTGAGAAACAGCGTGCAGCATTACTGTCAATAGGAGTGCATTAGAATTGGCAGCAACAGCACACAAAAGTGTCTTTAAAAACCTGGACAACCTCATTGTGTAAGTGCAGAGTACAGTACTGTTTTTATCCTGTAAGTGGAGTGCATAACGATCAGGGCAAAGTCAGAGTCTTCTGAAATTATGCGTAAGAAAAGACTTCACATGTCTTCCATTTCCCTCATGAGTTTTAAAATAACAACATGGAATAAACATACTTTTCAAAAAAAACTTTTATAAAATGTTAGTAAAATATTGTATAAAGGTTATTAACATCCCAGAACCAGCAAGTCCGTACAATGGTCAATCTTTAGCCACTAAGTTAAAAATTCACCTGTGAATTTATTACATTATATTGTTACATAGATTTTTTTAACTCAAATTTTAGAAAATGTCAGAACATTCGAGCTATTTAGTATATATTAGAGTCAGCACCTTAACTGGAGACATACAACATAACAACAACAGGATTGTATTTATAGAGCGCCTTTCACATCGGGAGGACGTCCCAAGGCGCTGGACAGTTGGGTCGGGACTTGAGCAGGCGGGAAATGGTCAGGGTGAGGGGGGGGAAGGGAGGGAGCGAGGAGGGGGTAGAGAGTCGAGAGGGGAGCTGAAGGCACGGTTGAAGAGAAGACATAGACACTATTGTAGTCTAATGCTAATTCCCTGCTCTCTCCCATGCACTATATAGTATTTCTTCAAATGCTTATCCAGCTTCCCTCGACTGAAAAGCATTTCCCCTGTCATCAAACAGCATAGAAAACATACTGTGGTGTATTTGTCCATGATTATGGACTATTGATTAAAGCCCAAGTCTGTGCTAAGTGAGCTCATCCGAGTTGGGTGGTGATTGTGGTCTATGCAATAATTGACCTACATCCAGATCAGCTTTAATAATAATAATCTTTGCATTTGATATAATGCTTTTCACGTCTTCTAGACGTCTCAAAGCGCTTCACAGAATAGACTGTAAAGTGAACTGACTGTATATTTGTGGGTGAAATGCAGCAGCCAATTGTGCACAGCAGTGTCCCACAAACATTCGTGGATTGAAGTGATCAATTTATTATTGTTTTTTTTCTTGAGGGATTATAATCAGGCATATTGGCCATCTTGGGACAAAATAAATGTATAAAGAGGAATAAATACACAAAAATAGAATACAAACAAAATTAAAAAGAACATATTTTGTTAATGATCAAATGGTAGTGTGAAAGCCTATTCACTTTTACCAATACATTTTCAATTTGTTATGATCTCTTCAAGTCCCGACAGAAATAAAAAGAAACTGGCACCTTCTCTTAAGTTTATTAATGCCACTCTCCGCTTAATAGTCCCTTGAGAAATGCTGTCTCGCCTCACAGTCTAAGTCCATGGGTGAGGTCAAAGAGCTGCCAGTATGGAACATTGGAGCAATTCAGTCAGGAGTTGATCGTCTCCATCCAACTTCCCAAAAGAATCCCACCCCACATATGAATTTGTATTTTGCGGAAGCAAGAGAGAGAAAGTTTTCATAAAGGGAAAAGGAGCAACTTCGACCTAAGGAAACTGATTTACTGCTGTAATCTGAGTTGTCACCTGTAGAGAAGTCAAATTCCTTTATCCTGTATTTCTTTAAAACCTGAAATGTTGGCACAAGTGCAGAGTTTAACAATACATTTCAGACTGGCCAGACATACGAGTCCTATAAATAGCTCATTAACGTTTGGCTAACATTGGATGAGATAATAGTTAGGACGTGTTTATATGAATAACTTTCAGTGCATTGTCCGCCCAGTTTTGACCGCCGATAGCTTAGTTTGGTCCAGGATCAAGAATAACACTCTTGAGATTGCTAAAAGCTTTGGAGAACAACCCAGCTCTTTTATCTTTATGTCTCAGAAGTGGGATAGTGCAATAATGTCCTGGAGCTGACATTTGTATTTGCTTTGTATTTTCTCACTTTGTACTGTTCAAAATAAATCACAACCACAGAGGGAGGAGCATGTCATATGATCGTTTTGATCTGTCAGCTGATAAAACGCATAATATCTCACAATGAACACACACTGAGCATAGAATCAAATCTCAGAAGATACCAAACATCACTTTGAGGCTGTAAGGTAAGTGAGAGACGTATTACTTATCTGATGGGTTATTCATGCAGTAGAGATGCCTTCAAATCTGCTGTTGTAAAACATAGATAGAATGTTAACGTTACAGTCGTAATACATAACTGCCTTTGAAAGTGAAGTGTATGTATATTACAGGATTACTTTGACTTGTGTTGAACTATTGCATAGCTATTATGTGGTACAACAAAGTCTTGTATATTGGTTCTGGATGTAATGCACCAAAACTATTTATTCCTGAGAATTTAATTCTGTTGAAACGTTTTTCACACTGTCTCAACCCTACCGTGTGACCCTGGTATTTTCTGAAGCAGACTCAGAGCGCATAGCAGTCATGACTTGCGAGGAAGCATCGAATAATCACGTCACTATTTCTTTTTGCTCTGTGTTCATTTTAGGTATTTATTTAGCAACCATGGTCAAACATTTTCTAATTGAGCATAGGCAGATGTACCCTTGTCTGTCCAGAAGTAACTTTAAATGCTGCCGTTTATTGTTTTATTTACTGTGTGTTTCTGAAGTTTCCACTGAGTTCTCATTCTTTTATGATTATTTCAAGATAAGAGCATACTACTGGGTGCACAAATATGGTTCTATAGATGTGCTCGTCACCCTCAGGACATCACCAGAGCACCCATCATTCACATGTGAACCATCCCAGTAGGCATCACCAGACTATACAATAGCAGAAATATGACAGCCAGTTTATGGGTTAGGTTAATATCCCAATTGCAAAATTTACAGTTTGTGTTAACCATGTGGAAATGCACACATTTGCCCTTAGTTAAGTACTTAACAACCAATGTAAAGGATTAGAAAATTACCTGTGATCTTATTCATTTGTTAACTATGTAATGAAATCCCTATACACACGTGTGTTTGCAAATCGTTAACCCAATTTACAAATTACTAATCCAACATATAAATTAAACCAGAATTAACAACTGGAGCAGGTTACCAGGAAGGGTGGTTGAGGTCAGGATCCTGCATTCAATTACAAAACAACTTGGCGCTATAATGGGAAGATAGTAGGGTGGGTATCCTGGAAAGATCAGATGGGTTAAAGAGTCTTCTTCACTTAAGTCTTATGATCTTGTCAACAAAACTATAACTGTAACGCATAGAGAAGTACTCCCTTTAAACAAAGCATAATTGATTTGGAAATCATATATTTTGTTGTATTAAATGATTTTTATTTGCTACATGGAGGGTGCCTGGTATCCACGGAACCATAATGATAATATAATAATCTATGAGAAGGAAAAATGAATTTGGCTGAATGTGGTTGTGTTCTTGCCTCACATTGTGACCATGTCAGCTTCATGTTTATTGATCTTTATGACGAGTGCTTACATCAAACTTGTTTGACTTTTCACAGAAATGTGTTCTATACTGGCCAGAGAAGAGGGGCATATATGGGAGGGTTGAAGTTCTTGTGAACTGTGTCGATGAGTGGGAACATTGCACTGTCCGGGATCTTACTCTGAAGGTAAAAGATTAGAAAGGTATTGTTGTGATGTGACTGCAATAAAATTTATTTGAAATAGTTCAGTTTAAATACAGCTATTAAGAAGTTAATGCCAAGCTAGCATTTGGAGGAAGAACGTTAAACAATGGAGCGTTTGTGAATAATATTTTCGTTTAATATACTGTAGTTAGTGCTTTCATTTTCAGTGCTTCAGTCGTTGCATTCTTTAACTTAGTCTAAAAAAATACTATGTGCAGCTGTGCTATGTTGCTGTCAGCCTGGCTATGTTGGTAGCACTCTTGCCTCTGAATCAGAAGTTGTAGGTTAAAGCCCCATGTGGTAGACTCTAATCAGTGTTGTATTTATTTGTTTGAAAAGTAGTTTACTGGGTTTGGTCCGCTGAAGAGCAGAGAAAATTGAGCTCTCCCAGAACCAGAACGTATTATTTCCCTATTGTGATTAAGACAACAAGTGTATTAAAGAATACCAAAATCTTAACTCCTTATTCTATAATTGTCTCTGCATCACATAGTGTTGGCAGTGGAAAATTGCTAATGAAGATTTCCTTGTCTTTCCTAATCAGCATGGGGGGAAATGTCAAAGCGTGAAGCACTACTGGTACAAGTCCTGGCCTGACCACAAGACCCCAGATAGTGCCCAGCCTCTACTGCAACTCATGCTGGATGTGGAGGAGACCAGGCAGAAGTCACCAGGCCGAGGCCCTGTCGTTGTACATTGCAGGTAGGACAATTCATCATCATCGTCACCACCATTCGGTCTCTGCAAGAAAAACTTCAGAGTTACATCCAAAAACCAGCAATTAATCCATTTTGTGTGGTAATCTAGGGTCAATTTTGCAGCATTTCTCAATGGGATTTCTTGATCTGGAATTCCACTATGTTGACTCATGAGAACACTCCAACTTGATCCATTTTCAGAGCTGGGTACCCTAGCGCTTGTGTGAGGTGTGTGACATACTTCCTGTTACCTGAAAGGCTTCCCACTTCATTAAGAAATACAGTATCACAAAACTGACTCCCTCATGAACTATAGTCCAGCCTTGTTGAATGTTACTTATCATTTAAAGAAGTGCAACATGAAAACTAATGTGTTCTATGTTGAAGAGCTGGCGAACCATCAGGCTGTGATAAAGTGGTACAATGACATTTATCTGACCGTTCACCCACACCCTAGTACGTCATATTCCAAATACCGTCACTTTGTGCGGGAGGTTCCGAACAGGAAGCAGCATTTTCAGACCTTCTTGTCCCCAGAGTCTGCTTCTTGAACTGTCATTAATGAATCAGCTTTTGGCGACCACTCCACATCCCAGAGGAATACTTGCCTCGGATTTTCACACACTGAGACAAGCCTAAGGGAGGGACTGGACTGTGCTCCTGGCCCTTCTGATGAAAGAGCTTCCGAATTAAAGTAACTTCCTCTGAAAAATCGCCACATTTTCATCAAAGGCCTGAGAGAAGCTTCACCACTGATTAAAGTCCAAAACTCAGCCCACTTTGTTAGTGTGCAAGAACTGAGTGTGATTAGCCTGGTACAATAGTGCTTTAGTGCGCCAGAGATTTTTTTTAATCCTAATTGCCTAATTAGAGTGTGCCGAGGGAACAGGCATGGTGTTAATTGGAGTGGAGGATGAAGGTAAGGGGAGTGGGACTGAAATGATAGCTCCCCCAGAGAGCGAACATGGGCATGACTTTCTTTTGTGCTGTACGAATATAGGATTGTAAGAATACCGAGTATGGAGAGATGGAAGAAGTATGGGAGCAAATTCAGAGTGAGGTGAAGGTGGAGAGTACAGAAAAACAATGGTGGGGGTAGGAAGTGCATAGCGTGGGAGTGGGGAGTGCAGAGTGAGGTGAGGATGGGAACAACGACAGCAACAACACAATTACATTTGTATAGCACCTTTTAATAATAATAATAATTACGTGGGGAGAACATCCCAAGGTGCTGGACAATCAGTGTTTTGGACCTGAGCTGGAGGTTGGGATTGGGGAGAGCAGGGGACGACCAAGGAAGAGCCCTGAGGAATGCCGCAAAAGACGGTGTGGGGGCTAGAGGAGAAACAGTTTGTGTGAGAGGTTCACACAGGGTAGCTGCCCAGAGCGCTTGACAACGGCGGAGCATGACACCGAGCTGGGGAGAGTGGGAGGTGACTATAGGCTCAGTCGAATAGGAAGGTCTTCAGGGATGACCTGAAGAAGCGGAAGGAAGGGCAAGGCAGAGGGATAGAAGAAGAATGTTCCAGAGTTTCAGGGCATAGTGGCTTAAAGTGCGGACATCAATGGTTAATAGTACAGTTAATAGCAGGTCTCACTGTGGTATAAATCAGTGGATGGGGAAGAGTTACATGCTCTAAAGCAATGTTTTCTTTTTGTCAGCTGACCCCACTCTCACACTGCTCCATCATCTTAAAGCCTGGGGTTGCAGACCTCACAAGAAGCAAAATCAATAATGTTTAAGTTAATTATGGAGTTTTATCAAATTCACTGTTATTTTGATAGCTTTATATAGATTTTTAGATCACAGTGGCACAGATACACTGGCCTCCATCATTGCCAACAATGTCTGTTATTTGGATGTTACTACAGCTGCTTTCTATTTCTTTCCAGTGCCGGGATAGGCAGGACAGGCTGCTTTATTGCTACCACTATCGGATGCCATCAGTTGAAAAAGGAGGGGTTAGTGGATATCCTTAGCATTGTTTGCCAGCTGCGGGTGGACAGGTAAGACCCAGATTGCCTCCGAAGTACATAATAGTTGGTAAAGATCAAACCTTTGATCCACAGCACAGCTGCTATTGGACCTCCAGCAGGATGCACTGTTAAACAGGTTGATGCTCCATATCTGAAAAAGACCACTCTCTGAAAGTTCTGTTAACATAGCCCTGGCACACGAGCTGTCTGCTGGGCTGATACTTTTATACTGCAACTCCCTGTGATTCCATTTCCACACTTGATTTCACTGTGTGCTGTGTCACTCCTGTCCTTCCCATGTTGAGTTAGTAGCCGTGTCACTTCTGAGATCAATGACCAATTAATCTGGAGTAGCCATTGACCAGAAAACCAGGACAAATGCCCTTCTCTTTTCAATAATGCAATGGGATCTTTAATGTCCACTTGAAAGATAGACTCAGTGACACAGTTCCCTTCATTTAATGTCTCATCTGAAGGATGACACCTCTGATAACACAGCACTCACTTAGTACTGTGCTCGAATGTCAGCCTAACTATGAGCCAGCCTAGACTATTAGCTCACCAAAGCCTCTAGGAGGCCATTTAAGGCATGCTGTACACCCCACACCTTTGAAGCTGAAGCTGCTAGTACATCAAAGAAATGTTTTCTTTGGTTTGTCACTGGCCAGCTGTGTATTCAGGATAATTGCTCTGTCAATCCACGTCAGTGGCATTGTTACAGAGAGAGATTATTCCCTTGAGAAGTGGATGTGATTAAATCCTGCTTTCAGCGAGCAAACTTGGACAGCCTAATAGAAAAAAGAGAGATGATGATTGACAGGTTGCGAGATTTTATTTACATTGCGCGATGAAACATGGATCTGCTTTCGAATTGGTCTCGGCTGAAAGTCAGTTTATGGAAACAATTAGGGGAAGTTTGCATTGTGGGATATGATATTTATCACATCACACACTGTAATTCATCTCTCACACACACGCACCTTAGAAAAAAATTGCTAAACAAGGATTGATGTTTATTTCATTTTATTTATTTTATTGATTGATCTTCGACCATGCTTTCAATCACCCTGCTTCACCCCACTGCCCTCCACCTTCCCCGATTCCAACCCCCAGCTCGGGTCTGAAGCTCTGTCTGTCCATTGCCTTGGTATGTCTTCCTGATGTGAAAACAAATGTAATTTTGTTTTTGTTGATGATGTGAAATATGGATTGTGATAGGATATGAGCAGCATCTTTCCATGGTTAGCACAACAAACAATTCTTGCAGAGGATAATCAGATTGTACAACTTCCGTCTGAAGTGGCGGTTGAATTATATAGATGCGTTCAAGAGGAAGATAGACCTTCACACGAGGGAGAGGAGAATAGACGGATATGGGAGGGAATAAGGAATGAGAGAAGACTTGTGTGGAGTATAAAAACTAATACAAACTGGTTGAGTATGTATCAATTCAAAACTGTATTGCTATGATAATAATCACCGTTGATAGTAAAATCACATTTTATGATGAGTCAATAACCCATTTGATGGTTATCAGAGGGTTCCAAATCAGTTGCGTTCTGATACCCAAAGTCACTCAAAAGTTGTACAGTGCTCTGGGCAGGGGACACCTCAATACTGTATACAGTTCTAATCACTCCAGTGTAAGGCGTTGCCAGCACCCAACAGATAGTGCAGAGGAGAGCAAATAGGATGATCTCCAATGTTAGAGAAATAAACTAGGGCTCTTCAGCCTTCAAAAGAGACATCTCAGATCAGATCTTATGAGGTACATGTGATTTTTAAATGGGATTGGGAAAGTAAACCCAAAATAATACTTTCAGATATGCCAGAGCAGCAGAAAAAATAATTAACAGATTCAGAGTACGGAAAGGCAGTTTCAGGACAGTTACCAGGAAGTATTTCTTTCCTCCAGAGGGAAATTAACAACTAAAACGTATTATCAAGAAAGGTGATTGAGGTCAGGACACTGGAGTTACTTAAGAAACTTGAAGCTTAATTCCGTGATTGGAGGATGGTTGAGTGGGTATTATAGAAGGATGAGATCAAATCTAAGAACCTTTTTAATTCAAATCTCACTTGTGAACATTTGTCAATTCATTCTGTCCGTTTAAAAATGGCTCGTTGTGTTTGCATGTTGCTGCCAAACAAAGGAAATGATTATTAGACAAATTGACAGTCTTTTGTGTTCGTCATTAGTCATTGCTTCTTCCTATTTTTGTGGCTGTACAGAAATTGTGAAATTCCAGAATTGGTTAATAGTTTGTCAATGTCTGAGATTTGCTGCCAGGCCTTTTAATAACATATCAAGCTATGCAAGAATTAAGGCACTGCTCAGCTGAGGGTAGTCAGCTAGAACTGTATGATATGACAATCTTCATCCACCTCGCCCTTTATTCAGAAAATAATAATAATCCTTGCGTTACATGTCATTGAGACATCTTAAAAGCACTTCACAGGATATACTGTAAAGTGGATTGACTGTATTTTGTGGGTGAAACATGGCAGCCAGTAATGGAGTGAGGGACCAATTTTATTGGGGGGATTGTTGGTCTGGACACTGGGAAAAACTCCCTTCTCTTTTCAAAAGTACCGTGGGATTTTTAATGTCCCTGAACAGGCAGATGGGACCTCAGTTTAACGTCCAATCAGAAGGACGACATCTCCAATAATGCAGCACATCCCCAGTCATCTTAGACTATTTGATTCCATGTCCTAATTTGGGACTTGAGCCCAGTCTACTTTTATATTTTCTTGTGAATTCTTTGTTTTTTGTGGTTGAGGATTTCTTTGGGCAGCGGTACTTTGGGAAGTAAATCTGTCATTTCTAAAATATTCTGTACAAACCTCTATGAGTGCATAATCTCCTGAATTCAATGAGAATCCTGAAATGGATGGGTCTACCTGTAATTATGAGAATCTTGGGTGGAGTTTCTTTCTTCCCTTGAATCGCATCTGTAGGACTTGAGTTCACTACTGAACATTACTCATTTTAGCTGAATGCTACTTGCCAGTAAACTGGCTGCTTTCAGTCTTCATTATGCTCTAGGCAATGCAAGAATGATTTGGGTGTTTACCAGTCTGATTCTTTTTGTTGCCTTGGTAATACACATCTGCGGTTACCATATCAATGCAAATGGTAATGTATGTTTAATGAACCATTTATTAAATGTTGTACTTGCAGTTCAGTAGAGAGTGACAGATGCCGTGGAACCTCATTGTAATGCAATGTTTGGGATCTATAAAATTGCATTCCAATTGCAGGTTTATTGTGCACATGCATAGTTGTCTGAGTTGCTTCCTGCATCCCCCCAAAAAATGGCCAACTTCTGTTTTAGTGAGTCACTGCTAATGTCACTTCCTGTTTTCTGTACATGTGCAAATCAGCAAGTGCTGTCAGTACTCAAATAAACAGAAGGTTAGCAATTTTTTTTAAGTGCTCCATAAAGGGTGATATATAAATGCAAGTTATTCTTGTTTGAGCGGGAAACCAAAATGGCCAACTTCTGGGTGATTAAATCAATTCCAGTGTCACTTCCTGTACATGCTTAGGTTGCCTAATGACAAGAAATCAGTCATTTTAACATGACTTAAGAGACCGAATGGCTCAGCTTTGTGCATGCACAATGAACAGTGTTCACTGTGTGGTCATTATACGTGAATTTGCACTATCGTCAAGTGCGTTATAACGCGACTACACTGTAACCTGGTTTATTGATTGCACTTCTGTAAATTAACCTCTCAAACAAACCACCAGCTGCAGTGGAATGCAGGTGTAGCGAGAGATATCAACTGTATTATTGCAAAAGGGGTCACTCCTGTGACCCAGCAATATTTGGGCTAGCATTACTCAATTGCTTTGTTGGACACAATTTCATAGCTAACAGCTGTGCATTGGGTCAAAGGTGAAATCTGTACTGTTTTATATGTATACACACAAAATTCCAGTTTTGTGTGAGATGCCCATTTAGTCTCCATTCAGACTTGGGTCTGAAAAAAAACAGATCCCAAATTAAGAATGAATTTAAAAATTGCCAACATTTGCAGACTCAGAAATGTTAAGAAAATAGTTTTGAACTTTGAACCAAGCAGAATTTCTGGCTCCAGATCTTTTAGTGAACTATCAGAAGTCATTTATATTGTTGTTCGGAATTACAGAGCATCATTGAGGTTTAACTTAAACTGGTTACATTTCCCAGAAACAAGGAGCTGTGCACATTATGGCTGAGTGAACTGAGCAATGTTTGCTTTGGTCTCTGCTTGTGCAATGTCAAGCTTATGCTCTTGAGTACTTGATCTTGGAATCAGATCAGGTATTTCCCCATGAAGAGGAACGGCATATAGATGTGAAGGCAAGTCATTGATCCAGAACCTCATTACAAGCACAACAGCAACGTTGGCAGAGAACATAAAATAGGTAACCAAACAGCTCAGTTAGTCCAACTGATGTGTAGCACAGCGAGGGATACCCAGAGTAATGGAGCAAAATAAGTTTCAGTAGAGCTACAGAAATGAAGGAAAGCTAAAATAGTTCGAATCAGCGTGGGAACACTTGAGATACTTTTCAAAGATTATGTGCTGTAACTTTTATTATTTTTATGTAACTTTTATATGATCAACATTTGTTTGTCTGATTGCTTTTTCTTTACAGAGGAGGAATGATCCAGACAAGTCAACAGTATGGATTTGTGCATCACGCTCTGAGTCTGTATGAGAGCAGGCTGTCAGCAGAGACTGGCCAGTGAATCTGCGAAGTGGCACATCTCAAACAAAACAGCTTTAAATGCTCAGCGACATGGGAGTAAGATAAATTATCTCTTTATGGTAACACCACATTGTTTGCCTGGTAAACGAATGGTGTAATTACCACTTGCAGAAAGGGGAAGCAAAGTAATCTCAAAAGGTAGTTGTAGTTTGAATGGAAAAATATGTTGATCAGATTGATTGAGGGTGCCTAAAAGAATGTAGTGTATATTTTCCAAAAAATAAGAAGGTACAAAAGATTGATGCCAATGGATGGAATATTATTTATATCTAAAGGAAGAATTTTATTGTTTATTTTATGAATATTTATAAATGCAATGGTCTATTGAGAACTGGCTCACAATGGTACTGCAGATTAATTTTGATGTGATGCCATGATGTTGTCATGGTGGAAATGTGAAGCTCAGCTCTTTATTGGGTATTTCTGTATTCGGAAGTAGCACAGCTTTTGATATGATTTCTCAACAGTTACACGTTAAAAGTGCTATTATAATAATGTGGTGGATTTTATTTCTTGACCACACATAACCATCTTGCTGCTAAAATGCACAAGTGTTTTAAATCATGGACTTTAAATGACTGTTTATTTCTGGAAACTTTTAAAAACTCAATGTTTTGTATGTAATGTAGCTGTTGATTTTTATTTGTGATAAAGTATAAAATCGTATGCATATTTATAATCTTAACTAGCAGTTGACTCGCTCAATATTAAAAATATCACTATGTATGCGTATGTCTCTGACAGTGTTTCTGTATGATCTATTGAAGTCCATACGTAAAAGCTTTATAGATATTACGCAAGTCTTGTAACATTTTTTGATCTATTATATAAGCATAGTATATTTAAAATATATCAATAGATATTAATCAAATTGAATGTTGTGAAATAATGTCAACATTTTGTGTCTTGATAAACAGGAAATGCATTGTATATGCCTGTGACAATAGATATATTAATGTAATGATGGAAGTACCAAAATCTAAACATTAATGTTGTCTTATTTTCAGTTCTGTATTTAATATATGCACCAGTTGATCAGACATGTACCAGATTCTTTTTTGTCTTGTGCAGGAAATTGTTTACAAGTTGTTTACAGAAAGCAGTGCAGCATCTACAATGGGGGGGGGGAAACGTGTGTTTTTATTCAGTACTGTTAAAGTTTGTGTAAAACGACAATAAATACGATACATTTTTTTGAAATCTCCTTCTCGAGTGTGTGTTTAATTGGAAACATAGTTTTTTGAATTCCATCTCTTCCCTCCCTCTCTCCAATCAATGTACCATACAAGAATTTATACCTTTAATCTATGCCGTGGTGTACTAAAATTCTGTATATTTCTATTCCAGGTGAAGTTTGGAATGCTTTTCACATTGGGTCCTTTATGTCTTCAACCAACACTTGCAGATTAGGTACTGGACAGCCAAGATATAGGCAAAAAGCCTACTGGACTTGTCCCAAACATCTCAATTCACCTGAATTCAGAAAAACACTAATTGTACTCCACCAGTGTGTAATTTTCCATTTCCCAAATAATTTGTCCTTGTGGCCTCTCTCATCGCAATTTGCAGTGTTGTTCTAAGGATCTACGTCCATCAGGAACTGGGTTGACACTGATTGCTCTCTGGTAGTGCTGTTTTTATTCATAATAAAATAATAATACAAATCCTTGCATTTGATACAGGACCTCTTACGTTGGGAGAATGTCTCAAAGTGCTTCACAGGATAGAACTGCAGAATGTAGTGACTGAGTTTTTGTAAGTGAAACACACAGCTGGTAGAGATTGGGGTTGGATTGAAACCCAGATCCCAGAGGTGAAAGAGTATACAATACCCATCTGTGTAATCATTTAGACCAGACAGTGCATTTTTAAGTGAAACATTACACAATTATTTGGTAACCATTATTTGGCTGGTCTCAGTGTTTGAGGTTGAGATCCCCAGATGTTTAAGACATATTTCTAAGTGTGAGATACTGATGGAGATACAGTGAGATACAGTGGAAGAGCATTACCAGAAGAGTATTCACTCTCTTATGTATTCCATCAGTCAGATCTGCTCATTAAAACACATCGCCTTTTGTGTGGCTACAGTTCGAATTCGTAGAAAAATTGGGTATAACTTTGGTTTCAAAAAGAAAAACCTTTTCGGGGATCGTCCTGTGATTTATTCCACATAACGTGGATGTCGGGAGGTGCAAAAGCGCGACCCTACGCTTCCAAAATCACCAAATCGTAGCAAAATCGCCATCCCATCCAGACTGCACGAGAAAGAGAGAGAGAAAAAAAGAATTCACATCGCAAACCGAGGCAGATGCTGCACAAATGTTTTTGTTATATAGGCTTTGTGTGTGGGATCCACCGAATGACATCTCTGCAACGAAAAGGGGGAATATTTTATGATTGCATTTTTTTTCAAAAAAAAAAGCACTTATTCCCATTTTCTGAGAAATCGTCCGACATGATATTCCAACCTCGAAACATCCCCCAAAAAAACAATTGAATCGAAGGAAGTGCTCGTCATTGACTTTTCCCCTCAAGGCACATTTCCTCTCCAGGATCAGCCTCAGTGCTGAGTGTGGGGAACATGTCAAGTTGGTTACATGTACCCAAGTAAAAATGGATCCTTTTCTCTTCGCTGTGACTTTCGCATTCCTCCCTCTGGCTTCATCTGGTGAGTGGAAAGTTGTTGTTTTTTTTTTCAGGACACGTTACATAAAACCCTGCGATGATTTGTGTTCATTTGTACCTCGAAACCTCTCTCTCTCTCTCTCTTCTCTCTCTCTCTCTCTCTCTCTCCTCTCTCCTCTTCTCTCTCTCTTCTCTCTCTCTCTTCTCTTCTCTCTCCTCTTTCTCTCTCTCTCTTCTCTTTCTCTCCTCTCTCTCTTCTCTTCTCTTCTCTCTCCTCTCTCTTCTCTTCTCTCTACTCTCTTTCTCTCCCTCTCTCTCTCTCTCCCTCCCCCTCCACTCCCTCAGCAGCAGAGCAAAGGCGACCGACTTGCAGCTAATAACACAGCCTGACTTTCTTGGCGAAATTTTTTTTTCTCTCTCCCCCCCTCCCTCCCCAAAAAAAAGAGAAGGGAAAGAAATGCTCTGTCTCCAACTGTGTGTTCGCACAAGAAAACAATCTGCAAAGCCTTTGGGTTTTAAAGGGGCCGTTTTCTCTTGGAATTGGTGTGGCTTTCAGGAACCAAGCTGTTGAGTTTGATTTTAATGCATTATATATATATATATATATATTATATATATAAAAGACAACAACACTGGTATCTTCGGATTTCAGCAGCACATCGCTTTCTTCTCCTCCCTTTCCTCCTTCAAGGCCGGTCTCAAGACCTTTCTCTTTGACCGTGCCTTCAGCTCCCCTCTCGACTCTCTACCCCCTCCTCGCTCCCTCCCTTCCCTCCCCTCACCCTGACCATTTCCCCCCTGCTCGGGTCCTGACCCAACTGTCCAGCGCCTTGGGACGTCCTCCTGACGTGAAAGGCGCTCTATAAATGGAATCTTGTTGTTGTTGTTGTTCTCGTTATGCCTTTGGCCGCCTGTGGTGCGGTCGGACACTGTCGTGATATCACGACAGAAACCCGCAGCAGTTCAGCAAAACTGTTGGGAAAGTCACCGCGAAAAAAAATCTAAGCTCTTCGTGGAATGTAACGCAAACAGGAAGCCAGTAAGTGAAGGCTTGAAAAACGGTCTGTGATGTTGAAATGTTGGGGAGAAAAAACAAAGAGGGTGTGGGGGGGTTGTGGGGGTGGGTGGGGGTTGTGGGTGTGGGTGGGTGTGGGGGGGTTGTGGAGGTGGGTGGGGGATGGGGGTGTGTGGGGGGTGTTGAATGGCAATCCAAAAGGGGGGAAAACCAGAGTGAAATAAATGGACAGGAATTTGGCCCCAGTTTCGCGTTGGTTTCGAGCAGTCAGAGATCAAAATTAGCACTGAGGTTAAGTGTCCGACCGAATTTCAGCCCTGCCCTGCTTCGCTGGTTGGCGTGTAACGGGTTAATATTGGAACCAGAGCAGCAGAGGAGATTGACCATTTATTTGAAGCATTTTACTGTCAGCGTTGCATGTTGGGATGGACGCACGTCTTCGCGTTTAACCTCAGGACCGTGTGTGGTGGGTGTGTGTAGTGTGTGTGTGAAACTGACCTGAAGTCGGCTGAAGTGGACATATATATATATATATATGTGTGTGTGTATTTGCTCCTCTCCCTCACAGACGGATTCCTGATCCTACATGCACAGAAGAAGAAATGCTTGCTGGGCAATGGCGAGACGCTGAATGTGGGCAACTGCAATGCCACCAACCCCTGGCAGCAGTGGCAGTGGACCGAGCAGGGCAAGCTTCGCAACGTGCAGAGGGGCCAGTGCATGGCTTTGCACAGCAGCTCGGCCTCGCCCACTCGCAGGGTAACGCTGTTGGACTGCGCCCAGGCGCCCCGCTGGAAATGCCACGATAACGCCACGGAGCGCTTCGGGCTCGCCGACCAGGAGCTGTTTCTCAGGAAACTGGGTGACAGGGTGATGGTGCGCGCCGAGAATAAGTACCATCAGCTCTGGCAAAGGTATCACATCGAGAAAGGCGGCAAACCCATCCAGCAGAGTATCTGCCCATCTCCAGGTGAGAGAGAGACACACAGAGAGAGAGAGAGATCCAGCCAATTCACATTGCAATTTCCATTGAGCTAGAGCCTTTCATTTCGCCCACAAAATAATATAATGTAACATGATCCTTGCATTCGATATAGTGCTTTGTCACGTCTTCAAGATGCCTCGAAGCGCTGCACAGAATATACTCTCAAGTGAATTTAAAATACACGCAGTCAATGCACTTTTCAATGTAATTCTGTGAAGCTCTTCGAGATGTCTCAACCGCCTGATAAGGCCCTGTATCAAATGCAAGGATGATGATTGTTATTCATGTCCGGGAGGACATCGCAAAGGCGCTCAACACTGCTGGTACCCGAACTAGGATGGGAACTTGAACAGGAACTTCAAAGGTCATAGTATGTATGTCTTATGTCCTAATGTTGGGTCCACACTATTCTGAGATAGTGATTCA